ATAGAAAATTGCAAGAATATTTCAAAAAAGAAGAAGAAAAAAAAACCCCCCATTCCTGTAATCGATAACTACGTCAAGGCTGTGGTTTGTTCGCCGACATTGGTAAATAGATAGTCTGTCCCACCAGACCGTTTATTCGCTGGTTGTGTCAGGGTGACTGTTTCCTGACAAATTCTAGCGATAATTGAAGACAGGAGAACAAGTCAAGTTTTGCTGATCGAAAAAAAAAGAAAGAAAAAAACCGAACCAGAACACCCCCCCCCCAAAAAAAAAAAAAAAAACTACAAAAAAACTACAAACAAAAACAAAAACATGGACTTACGTCTATATTCGCTTTGAGATATGCTGCAGTTTTCCCCTATTTCTGGCTACACCGTAAGAGACAGAGTGCCATGTGTACCACCAATAGAAGCCGGGGAGTCTTTTCTATTCATAAATACCAAAAACTCAATTTGTTGCCATTTTGGTGTCTTGACAGTCTTGTTCTCAGGTCTTAAGCTGTTGCAGTCGATTACGTGAAAAGGACAAGAAAACACAGCATGCCAGGCGGTAAAATGCTAATAAATATATTACAATGAAGTCCACTGAAACCGAAATATACGGGAATACAAGATTTTTGTCCCCGTTTAACCTGGTTTACGGTTTAGAGAGGTTGCTCAAAGACAGGAAAACCGGCATCTGTGGTGTAGCGGCCAGGTGCTTAATTGTCTGGCGCAGGAGACCCGCGTTCTATTTCCGAGTGTGGAGAATTTTTTTTTAAATCGAGTATCTCGATCTCTCTGCTGGGATGTTGTATTCCTCTTGTCCTATAGTTGGCTTTGAAAGGCAGGGCCGGAAGCCCGCCTCCTAAAAGATTTAAATTGCGTCAATGGGGGTTTAAAAAGCAACAATAAAATATAACTAAACAAAAGTATGGGAGGTCTTAATTTTCTATTGGTTTAACGCTGTTTTTGGATCAACTATGTCCAGTTTAAGAGGACTGCACTGGAATTATAATTAAAATTTTTGGTTTGTTTATAATTCTGAGTCATTTGTAAATCCTAATGCAAAATAAAATAGCAAGAAAACAGACTTTATCAAACGCTGTATTCAGTTCTAGAAGCATTCTGTTTGAACGGAGAGAAAATATTTGCCACTCATGTTTTCGAATAAACAAGATCGGAAACTGTAAATATTGCAGACCGAGGTCTTAATTGTGGTTAACTGTTTTAAATATCGATACTTGATTTATGGTTATCATAACCAAAATGAAAGTTAGCTGAAAAAAAAATAGGTGACCGATTTTTGCTCAACTGGAAATGACAGAATTAAGGGAGGTGTAACGAATGAATCGAATCGAGAATTGAGAGATAGGGGTAGCTAGGATAATAACACACGTAATTTGGATAATAAAAAGGAGAAGCGCAATAAAAATGAACCATAAATAGCCTGAGATCCTTGAGCGAGGACAGAGATTGGAATGAGCTAGGCCCATGAGGCGATGGTTCTCAAAGAAACTCACGCAAGGCTTGGAGATACACGCTCTGTTATTATGGGTATGCCAAGCGATACAGGACCACTGGGTCGTGTGATTAAACTCCGGGACAATGGGAATTGGTGGGCTTGTTACCACCATTCTTGTATTCCTTGTAATTTATGGTGGTACGATCTCGTGTGTTTGTTTGTGTGTGTGTGTGTGTGTGTGTGTGTGTGTGTGTTTGTCTGTGCGTGTGTAAGAGCTAGGTAGAGAGCCAGAGAGAGAGAGAGAGAGAGA